ATTCCTGACGTTCGCGTTTTCCATATTCCGACATATCGGGCGAATTCCGAACGGAATACACGATGGTTTTCGAATTTTCGAGCAAAAGAAAATTGACTCGAGTGCTGCCAGTCGCGATCTCGTGGAATGCTCGATCTCCCTCGCTGTCCAGGTATTCGCCGGTCTGGAAAAGTTTTTTGGCACAGCCTGTATGAACGGGTAGCGGTGGGCAGAGTGCACTCGAACCGTCTCTTCGCTGCGAACACGAACACTCGTGAATATAAACTCAACCGAAAATCTCTCCAGTTTGTTGATCAGAGAAAACGCGACTCGAGTGCGAAATTTCGTGCAAACGTATGTTTAATTGCTCGCGAAATGCGCACCGAGTCAAACGAAACGATAGCTTCCGGAGTGTCGCTTACCAAAATTGATTTACTATTTTATTGAGAAATTTTGCGCGCTTAGTTTGTTTATCCTTTTTTTCTGAAATTCTATTTAAGATTTTAATTCGATCATGTTTTTCAAATCTTTATAATTGATCGTTCTTGCAGAAATATCGAGGATTATATATAAAAATAGCGGAAAAAAGGCGCTATTTTTCACGAATGAATTATTCAGACATGATTAAAGATCGCTCGCGTCTTCTAACAAGATTAAATTAAATTGTAGTGCCGAACGAGCGCAGCAACTGCACAACTACTACTGCAAAACCAAAACGGATTAGGGATCGCATCAATTTAACGAGATAACATTTATCCGATCGCATTACTTCGTTCACTTTGATTTGCCGTATTCGGGTATAATTGTGGTAGAAATAGTAACGGCGATCACTTCATTATACACGCATCTAAGCATTAAAATGAATAATGATCTTTCACTATTTATCGCTAATCATGAATCGTCAATCGTCGGGCATTATTTTGAAAGTCATGAATAATGAATAAATTATGGAAATTATTCAACACGATAAAGTTTCGCCGCGGCAAGTTCGGCGATTCTTTAATATCGGGTCACACTGAAAATTGTGTGACGTATATCTGAGGAATTGTTACACGCACTATCAGACACTCCCTGTCAATTTGAGCGACGTTGAGCTGCAAGCTCCCGAAACTAATTTCGAGTTTCGTAGCTCGATGTAACTTCGTTATGTACTTGGCGTTACCTTTATGACGTATAATCCCGCGGCTACCGGCCGCAAAAGTCGGACGGATGCGATACGATGTACATCGATCGACTACTTTATTCATCGCCTTTTCAAAATTAAGCTCACATTTTTTACGCAATTTGCATTCCATTCCGTCGTCTGTGATTGTGTACCGGTGAATCGGAACGATGCGAGAGAGCTTTGCAAAATTAACTAGGATCTACTCGAAACCAAAAAGATGACGATAGCTTCTGTCTCTTTCGCCTCTCGTTTGTGTTACTATTTTACATTTCAAATTTGCGGTCGCAATTCAGAGACGGCGTCTGCTTAACGCTGCTTCTTTACGCTGGATTGCATCTTTAATTCACTTGATCAGATCTCTAACCGCGATCCTTTTTAGAATCGCTCGGTTTTGCAAGCACAGGTTACCGCTCTTGCTCCGCCGTTGAAGATCATACCGTTCCGATCGATTTTCCGTGTTCGGCATTGAGAAGAGTGTCACAGACGTGATGGGTTAGGTTGTAATATACGTTGACAACAAGTTAACTAACCGGAAGAGCTAAGTGCTTGCATGGTAAATTTGAAATGCATTAGAAACGCGATCGGCCATTGCGAAATGTTGCCGGGCGGGCGAGCGAGTAGGCTTGCAGAGTCGAGATAACCGAAATTTGTCAACCGGTCGTAGATCGTGTCGTTCCATCCGCTGCATCCGCGGATTTGCATTATAATATATTGCACTCGGGCCCGTGCGCGCTGTGACATTGCGTTTTGGTCGCGCGTAATACGCGAAGTGCCGCGCACGGCGCAGTACAAAACGTGTCCAACAGGTAACGCGAGTGCATCTGCGTGGGTTGCCGGGATGCAGCCGTGCATCCCGAAAGTGCTTAATCGCAATCTGCCCGACAACGCAGGACGCATCTGTGAATTCGGTGCTGTCTGCGGGCGTTGAACAGAACGGCGGATTCGTCCCCCGAAATGCGCTTTTGTGTAAAATGATTCAGCGGGAAATAGCGAATGAGGAAATCTAATAATTTTCACTTAAGTTATCCAGCAGAACAACATAATGTGATGTTAATTTAAGTTGTTTGTCTCACTGACTATTTTAATTTTGATATATTTTTTATATTTTTCCATATATAAATATATAAAAGCTTTAGTACTTCGAACGCGCAATTGTTCTTGTCATTTTTTCTGAATAATTTAATTGTTGTCGCATGCACGATTTGATTTTAAATGCACTTGGTTTATTATATGTATATATATATATATATATATATACATGTATGTATGTATGAATTTATGCATGTATGTATGTATGTATACATGTGTGCATGTATGTATGTATATATATGTATCACAATCACATATTTTATTACATTTCTAACGATCAATTGACGTTATAAAAGAGAGGAGATTTGTTTTTCGCGCAAAAAGTGGTGTGGTGAAAGAAAATGAGACGAGAGATGTCTCAAAGTACATCTTCAAAGGTGCGGAAAATCCAAGGGAATTGCGTTAAAGTTATTTCTATTCATGGAGAATCGCATGCGAAAACATTAGTACGATATTTCTAATTCATTGAGCTGTTTGCCGATCGCACAAGCTATGTTTTCTTTTCAAATAAAAGGAAGACAACGGGAGCGACTTGGTTTTTCTTAAACTTTCGAGTGGCGCGATAAATGTAAAAAATATTATATTTATGGTCGAACACATAATTTCCTCTCCTCATCTGTTGTGCCATTAGCATCCTTCTTATGTATGTTTTTTCACGTGAAAAATTTCAATTTTTTTCTTAAATACAAAGTCTCATTTCTCGAATATTTCTCGATAGACTCATCTATCATTCAAAGAAAAAATTCTTCGAGATATATTATGTTGAACGTGAAAAATAAAGCGGGATAACTTTTAATTTTTATACTGATAGTGAAATGCATCGATACACCTCTGTGAAGTTGGCACCCCATTTTTAAAAAAATCAATTTTTTTTTAGAGTTCTGAATGCACCCCAAAGAGTTCTAGAGTTCTCCATAAAATTTATAAATAGTTCCGGCGAATTAGACAAAAAAATCCATTATTGAAAGTATGGGGTACTAACTTCACAAAACATTATCACAAAATTGACGATAACAGCTTAATCGTCGGAAATAATTAAAAATATCAGTAGAATTATTTGTAGAACTCTTGAGGTGCTACCCAGAACTCCAACGAAAAAATTAAAATTCCAAAAAATTTTATTCTTATTGGAACTTAGAATATTTTCTTAATCGGTGATACGAAAAATAGCGAGAACTTGTTATATATTGGTCTGAGCGCTTTGAACCTTAATAATTATCGTTAGAACTCTTGAGGTGCTACCCGGAACTCCAATAAAATAATCAAAATTCCAAAAAAATTTCTCACTCTTTCTGACCTAGAAAATTTTCGATCGGTGATACAAAAAAATTGCGAGAACTTTTTATATATTGGTCTGAGCGCTTTGAACCTTAATAATTATCGTTAGAACTCTTGAGGTGCTACCCGGAACTCCAATAAAA